GCAGGAAGTTTGGGAAACGCAGGCCGGCGGTGCCGAGCACGTCTGCTCTCGGGACGCCGGTGAAGCGCCGCCGAACTTCCGTGCAAGTGCTAGGGTCGGGGACAGCCCTCGTGGGCTTTCGTGCGCGCACCGGCACTGCTCACTCCATTGCTCGCGGTGGCTGTGCGGCCACTTTGCCTGGAAATTAAGACGCCCGTTTTGGTGCCAGGGAGTCGCGCAGCCCTGGTGACTCCTGCGGGTGCCCTGGAAGGTCTGTGACGGTCCCGAAGTTGCAGAACGATGTGCGTCGCTTACTCGTGTCATTGCACGATGGCTTACCCAACTGTTGGCAGTGGAAGGGTGCACGGGATGGAGGACAGCTGCGCATTTATGGACACCCTTATTTTGGTGGTGGTTCCGGCGAATTCATTTAGTAATGTTGTTGCGTTTGCTGATACATAGTTAAAACCGTAGGGTTAAGTGAGGCAGAGCAGAGCTGGGTATGGGAAGCTCAGGAAGCTTTTGGCTGGAGTGCTTTTCCCCCTCTGCTTTCCTTTGACTATGAAAACGGCTTAGGGCCTTCATCTTGCCTCCATATTTTAATTGCCAGCTCTTACCGAGCTGTGGCAGATCGTCTGGGAACCAAGTACAAGATGTACATATTATTGCATTAGCTTCTTTGTGATACAAAGTTAAGGTTTGGTATGCCATTTGCATTGTAATGTCTGGTGTAAAATCCTATTATTATTCCTGTATTAATTGAAATTTGGAGAAGGAAGAGAGTTTTGAATAACGTTAAACTTTTTTTATACTTTTTGTATCTTTTAGAGCAACACATATCAAGTCATATTAGGGTTTTAATTTGATTGTTTCCCATTTTGTTATTTGGAAAGCACTTCTTTCAGAACATTAATTTGGGATTATATGTTTTATATTTGTTTTTCGGTTCTTACTCTAGAAAGAGTACACCTATCTGTTGTCAAGCCCCTCTCCCTTACACATGGCAAGTGTGTGCGGCCACACGCACTTCCCCTGAGATGGAAATGAGCTCGCTTTTAGTGCAACTTCCAGTGCACCAGAAGGAAGGCTGATTTGGGGTATTACAACTTTATTATTTCAATTTCTACAGAATATCCCCATCTAACCGCATGGAGAATGTTTAGAACAACTCTAAGTCTCAAGAGAGTTTTTTCTTTTAGATTTGAAAACGGGTACAGCATTCCTTATAGGAGATTAAGTCTAGTGGTAACTTTGATGGTTCCAAAGTTTGTAGTGAATTCTTTAAAATTAGGTACCTTTTGAAGAGGATAGAATCTCCAATTGTTTTAAAGAAACATATAAATGGAAACCAATGAGTGAAATGAAAGCAAAGAGAAGGGTTTTCAGTTGGTTACACAGTATTAGGATATGTACTTGCAGAACAGACCCTGTATTTAATTGGGTATTGAAGACCCTGAAAGTGAAACTGATAATGTAGCAAATGTAAATTGGGTTTGTAAATGCTAAAAGTATTTGCAAATTAATTATGTAAGAAATGAAAATTAATATTCTTTGTGAAATGCGCTGGAGAGAAAGGTTTTTAAATTGTCAGTGTTATTTAGATAGTCACTAAGTGGGTTGTTTTCTGCAGAAGATGGATGCATTATGGCACATTAAAAATTTTATCTTTATTGTTGAAAGTGCAACAAATGTCCCCCTTGCCCCCGCCCCATTGGCTCCTTCCACTCCCCCCATCCCTCTCCCAGGCATCATGACAATTTTTAAACAATGAATTTGTGTATTTGTCTTTGGATTAGAAAAAGTACTGCTAATTATACTTTTCTTTGAGTTTGAACTTTATAATAGATAACTTTTTGACAGATATTGCCTCAGGCTTATTTAATATTAGACAATTTAATGTTTTATCAAATTAAAAACACAGGCTATATAGTTACTGGTTTTACATTATTATTACTTTAAAATTATGTTTACTACTTAAAATCAAGAATTTTGAACTGAAGCTATTAACCTTATAATTTGAAAAGTAGGTATATAAGTAGGAATTTCCTGTAGTACAAAAGTCAAGTGGAACAGTGAACTTTACATTTGTATAAAAGTTCTTCTATCTAATTATTTGGTTATTTGGAGTAGTCTTTATCAGAGGTACAGGTCTTTCTATTGGTGAAGAAGTTCCTGCCACAGAGTAGACAACATTCTAGACGTCTGATTACTTTTCTATTAATGTTAAGGAAACCTTTCTGTAAGTTTTGCTTTTTTTCTTTCTTTCTCTTCCTTAGAATATATAAGGGAAGCCAAGAAAACATTTTACCATATTTCTTTGTTGTTAACCCTCACCCGAGGATATTTTTCCATTGATTTGTAGGGACAGTGGGAGAGAGAGGGAAAGACAGAAAGAAACATCGATGTGAGAGAAACACATCAACTGTTTGCCTCCTGCATGAGCTCCACCAGGGCCTGGGCCAAGGAGGAGCCTGCAACCGAGGTACATGCCCTTGACCGAAATCGAACCCGGACCCTTTGGTCTGCAGGGTGACACTCCTCTACTGAGCCAGACTGGCTAGGGCTCTACCATATTTCTTACCAAGTCAACAAAGTTGACATTAGGGATGTGATGGGTCTTGGGGTGGCACAAAAGCAGCAGGTGGTAGGGATAGGCTTTCTGGGCACTGTCCTTGATCCTCTTTACATAAACTCTTTACACCCTGTACCTACAATAGGTCAGTTACTGCTATTAGAAGGCCACCTGGAAGATTCTTGCTGCAGAAAAATTAGGCACAATTAATGCTGTCATATAAGGAATCAGCAAAATATAGCTGGGCTGTAGGTGATGTAAGGCCCCTCCCCCAACAGGTTTTCTCATTTCTGTAGCTGTGAACCTGAAATAAGTGATTAAAAAAACTCTGTTGTGCTGGGTTGGTGTGGCTCAGTGGTTGGAACATCAGTGCAGGATCTGGTTCAATTCCCCAGTCAGGGAATATGTCTGGGTTGCAAGCTTGATCCCCAATAGGGGCCGTGCAGGAGGCAGCTGGTAGATGAAGTTTCTTTCTCATTAATGTTTTGGAGGCAGCTGGTAGATGAAGTTTCTTTCTCATTGTTTTCCTCTATCCCTTTCCCTTCCTCTTTCTCTAAAAATCAATAAAAACATATTTAAAAAAACCACTCTGTTGCACCATAATATATGCAGTTTTGCAAAACAGCAGTTTACAGTTGAGAGTTATTGTTATTTATGCTCTTTGAGATAATACAACTTTGTAGTCTTTATGATAGTAATTCTTTTTATTTTATTTAAAAAAATTAGATAAATGGACATTTTCAGTAATTACTGACCTCTGGAACTTAATGGGCACTGAAATGTTTTAATTTATTTGAAAAAGCTGGTCCAGGAACAGCATTCTCTCTTCATTCTCTCTTTTTAAAAAAATATATTTTATTGATTTTTTACAGAGAGGAAGGGAGAGAGAGAGAGAGTTAGAAACATCGATGAGAGAGAAACATCGATCAGCTGCCTCCTGCACATCTCCTACTGGGGATGTGCCCGCAACCAAGGTACATGCCCTTGACCGGAATCGAACCCGGGACCTTTCAGTCCGCAGGCCGAAGCTCTATCCACTGAGCCAAGCCGGTCTCGGCTCTTCATTCTCTCTTATCTGTTAGGCAGTAGTTGCCTAACCTGACCCTGCTCCTGTTTGTCTCATTCATGGCACCTCTGGTTTTTGAGAATATGATGTGAGTTTTTCTATAATCCCCATCTGAGGATATTTTTCCATTGATTTTTAGAGAGAGAGGAGGAGAGAGGGAAAGACAGAAATATCAATGTGAGGGAAACACATTGATTGGTTGTCTCCTGCACGAGCCCCAGCCCTGGCCCTGGAGGAGCCTGCAAGCGAGGTACGTGCCCCTCACTAGAATTGAACCCAAACTGAGCCAAACCGACTAGGGTGAGAATACAGTGTTTGTAGTCAAACATAGAGTTTTTAGTAAGTATATTGGTGTTTATTACTATGTAAACTTTTATCTCAGTTTCCCATGCCAGATTTGTAGTCAGTTTGCACAGTGACAAGGCACACTGCTCCGCCCTTACCTTTCCCCTACCTTTTTGCAAAACTGCACCTTATTCCCCAGCCACAATGAGATTTCCTGTGGGCAGATAGTACTTGTCCAACCTTGTGTTCTTTTTTTTTTTTTTAATATATTTCTTTATTGATTTCAGGGAAGAAGGAAGAAGGAGAGAGAGACAGAAACATCAATGATGAGAGAGAATTATCGATCGGCTGCCTCCTGCACGACCCTCACTGGGGACCAAGCCTGCAACCCAGGCATGTGCCCTTGGCCGGAATCGAATCTGGGACCCCTCAATTCGCAGGCCGATGCTCTATCTCCTGAGCCAAGCTGGCCAGGGCCAACCTTGTGTTCTTAAGCCACTTACTGTTCTGCCTGAGGGGCTTCCAAACTGAAAACTGTCAGTTTTAGTTATAGAGAACCTTGTATGCTCGCTCTCTGTGCTTTTCCTGTTGGGGACATGTGAGATCCCTTGACAGGATTTGCTAGAATTTTTAATCTTTGAGATGTTTGGACTAAACAAAGCTGATACAGAATAAACTTTCCGATCACTGTGTGTGTGTGTTCCTTTTTTTCTTTATTGTTTTGGCCTATCTTTTCATGTCAATAAACATTAATTCCTTCTCTCTTAAAAATTTTTCTTTATCATGTTTGTGCTAACGTGGCTATTTCAGAACTTCTTGGCAGTATAAATTGCAGAAGTTAATGAGTGAAGTAGGGATGATGTCTTCTTTATTTTCTTGTGATGGCCTGCACGCACATAAACATAAGCTTGTGGTTAGTGTGGAATCTACATCACATCCCCAGTAGGAGATGCGCAGGAGGCAGCTGATCGATGTCTCTCTCATCGATGTTTCTAGCTCTCTATCTCTCTCCCTTCCTCTCTGTAAAAAATCAATAAAATATATATTTTAAAAATATTTCTATATGTGACACGGCACCAGAGTTAAGTTAGGGTTTTTCAAAATGCTGACACGCTGAGCTCAAAAGGTTCGCTCGCCATCACTGTTATAGACCAATCTTGAATTAGTAATTGGAAGTGTCATTTTCTCTATTTGCAGAATTTGAAGGACTTAAGAACATAAGAGAAGGAGGAATGACACAGCTTTTTTTTTGTACTTTTTCTAGAAAAAGCCTCCTGTAAAAGATAGGAAAATTATTTGACTTTGCTTCTGCTGTTAATTTTTGTGGGAGCAGTAACTAGGTATGATGCACAAATGCTGAAATTGTTTAAGAAGTTTCATTCATGTTATTCACAGAGCATGTACGTAATATGCTGGGATGTGGACAATCAACTTGGAGGAAGATTCACTGGGGCCACAAGGGGTCTGCAAAGATTTGGAGGAAGCAGTACTTGAATTGGACCTTGAAGGGTCAATAGGATTTAGCCTAGTAGAGTGAGAAGAAAGTGAGTGTTGGAGGTGGGTAGCAATGTGATTAAAATTATTGAGGACTGAGGAAAGTGTTAAAGGTGTTTTCTTAGAGTGTGAATAGAACAAGAGGCTTAATACGGGGTTTAGGGCCAGGCTGTGATGGTCCTTGCATGCCACGCTAATGAGTTTGTGCTTTATAGTCCTGGAGTTATAAACTGTTTACAAGGACCAGGTAGGTAATTTAAATGAGTTGCTTGCGGCTTGTAAGATCCTGAATGACAGCTGACACTGAGGCCTTTGGGGAAAATGGTGAATGAAAACTTGGGAAGTCCCAGGAGCCCATGGGACTTGCCTACCTGCAACCCATAGACAGTTCGGGCTGATGGTTGCCATGTGAGACTGGGAGACGTTGCTCCCAAATACTCTGGTTTTTATGTGAAATCTCTTGATTTTTAAGTATTTTCAGTTAATTAAGATCCACAGCACTATTTGGGACTACACTTTGTGGGCTAGGTTTAATCTGTGGCCTGTGGGTGGACTGCAGGTCTTCAACCACTGCTTTCCGTCCCAGCTTATTTTATTTTGTAAATTAATGCTTTGAAAGCAGATATTTGCAGTCTTCCTAAGGACAGAATGCTATTAAATTACGTTGTATTCATTACTTTATTGAATGAAGGTATCTAATACTTGGTGATTTGATGATAGCTATTTTAGGGAAACCACCCTGATGTTAATATGAGGAGAGGACTTACCTGGAGGCAGAGACAATAGGCTCTTGAGTAGTCACAGTGTGAGGTAATCAGGGCAGAGGGTAGGCTGCTGATAGTGTGGTTGGAAAGGAAGAGGGATTTCAATCAATGCAGAGGAGGAATTTCGAAGTTCCTGACATAGATGCCTAAAGCATGGACATATCTGGGAGTACTGGCATGTAGAGTTGGAGTTTAGGAGCTAGATTAGGATAGGCGATTAAAGATGTGATTTATCTGAAATCTGAGAATATGGAGAATAGAAATAGTAAAAAGATTAAAATACCCTTAGGAGATGGGGGAAGAGGGACCCAGAAAGTCTGTAAAAATGAGAAAGGAAATCAGAATATATTCCCAGTATAAATGGGCAAGTATGCACATATGTACAAAGATGCTCATGGCAGCAGAGAAAAGTAGAAAAATAGTAGAGAAGAATTGGCAACAACAAAATACCCATCAGTGGACAGCCATGTGGTTTTTGTCAGGACAGGGGTAGAGCAGACCTGTAGGTACCCAAGTCTATGATAACATTTGTTGACCTGAGGAAACAATTTCCAAGAGTTGCAAAGCAGTAAGTTTAGAACTATTTTTTGTAAAAAGCACCCAAACTATATATTTTGTGCATAGAAAATGATTTGGAAGGATACATAATGAACATGACTGCTTCTGGGGAGTATATGCTTTCATAAGCACATCGATGCAACTTTTTAAAAAAATACTTTATTCAAGTATAAGTACAATCTTAGTGGTTATATTAGTTTCAGATGTATAACATAGTGATTCAACATTTTTATATCTTACACTGTGAATTCTTTTTTTTTTTTAAATCCTTACCTGAGGATATCTTTCCATTGATTTTTAGAGAGGGAAGAGAGAGGGAAAGACAGAGAGAAATATCAATGTGAGAGAAACACATGGATTGGTTGCCTCCCGCATGAGTCCTGACCAGGGCTCTGGCCAGGGAGGAGCTTGCAACTGAGGTATGTGCTTTTCACGGAATCAAACCTGGGACTCTTCAGTCCACAGGCTGATGCTCTATCCACTGAGCCAAACCAGCTAGGGCTCCATGCAATTTTTAAGCAGCCAATATAGCTCGCCCGGCATGGCTCAGTGGTGGAGCACCGACTTATGAACCAGGAGGTCAGGGTTCAATTCCCGGTCAAGACACATGCCTGGGTTGCGGGCTGGATCCTCAGTAGGGGCATGCAGAAGGCAGCCAATCACTGATTTTATTGCATCATTGATGTTTCTATCTCTCTCCCCCCCTCCTTCTTTCCTTTCTGAAATCAATAAAGATATAATTTAAAAAAAGCCAATACAGTTGACTTTTGAACAATGTGGGGGTTGGGCACTGATCCTCTGCACAGTAAAAAATCTATGTGATTTAAAATTCTCTATTCATTGATTTAAGAGAGAGAGAGGAAGTGGGGGGTGAAGGGGGGGCAGAGAGAAACATCAGTGTGTTGTTCCACTTATTTATGCATGCATTTGCACTCATTGGTTGATTCTTATATGTGCCCTGACAAGGGATCAAACCCACAACATTGGTGTATCAGGATAATTCTCTAACCAACTGAGCTATCTGGAGAGCTATATATATTATACACTGTGTTCTTACAATAAACTAGACAAAAAATGTTACTAAGAAAATCATAAAGGAGAGAAAATACATTTACAGTATTTATTGAAAAAAACTGGACCCGTGCAGTTCAAACCCATGTTGTTCAAAGGTCAACTGTAATTTAAAACTGTAGTCTTGTTTCACAAATGAGAAAACCAGGTCCTGGGGACATCACCAATTCTTGAGCCAAGATGTTCTGAATTCAAATCCTGTATCCACCACTATTAACTGTGTTTGACTTTGGGAAGTTACTTGACTCTTTGTGCCTTTGTTACCATCAGCAAAGGGCATATGAGTACACCCAATTTTGGATGGTTGTGGATTTATGTATGTGCAGAATTCAGAACAGTGTCTGGCACAAACTGCTAGTAAGTGCTATTAAGAGTGCTTTTATGTGAATTGGCTATTACTGTTTTTGCCACTGTCATCAATTATCAATCAAGTATTTGCCTGGAATCATAGGACCTGTTAGTGACAGACATGTGATAAGATACCAAACTCTCTAAAAATGCCATGGCATAAAATAATGTAGTAGTTATTGGGGTTCAGGAGTAAATAAAGATTTCCTTTCTGTACAGCTGTCCTTAATAAAGAGAGAAAGAAGGTATAAAACCTAGGTCAGCAGAAATTTCTGTAGAATATTTCATATTATGAGTAACACATGAAAAACAACCACAGCAATTCTATAGAAAATATATGTATGTAATGTTACTACAGAATCATTTCAAAAATTTTCATTACCCAGTCTTAATGCTTTCATAGTGATCTTCGATTAGGTCTCTCTAAATGAGACTTACTATAAGGTAGGTTTTTTTTTTTAAAAAAACACCAATATATTTTTATTGATTTCAGAGAGGGAGAGAGAGAGAGAAACATCATTGATGAGAGAGAATCATTGATTGGCTGCCTCCTGCACGCCCCCCACTGGGGATTGAGCCTGCAACCTGGGCATATGCCCTGACGGGGAACTGAACCTCGACCTCCTGGTTCAAAGGTTGACGCTCAACCACTGAGCCATGCCAGCTGGGCTGTAAGGTGGTTTTTAAATGTCTTTTATGCTTGGGTCACTTTTAATCCATTTACGCAATCCATTTACATCAGAAGCAACATAGTTGAAGGATCATAGTGAAGTCTGTGTGTTTTGTTCTTCCATCTTAAGTGAAGCCTAGCAAAAACTTACTAATTTCCTGATCTTTGGGATCCTGATGACATCATGTCCCATTTGTTTGGAGTAAGCACCTAGTTGCATATGAAGTAACAATGTACTTAAAGAGTTACAGAATTTAAAAACTAGATGAAAATTCTGAGAACATTTAGTCTATCCCCTCGTTTTGTAGGTAGCTGAGCCCTAGAGAGATTGATTCCAGCATGCCGGAAGTCATACATAAGGTGTTAACCTATAGTTAAATAAAGGGGAGAAGGTAGTCTGTTACATTGGTGACTCCCAGTGAGCCAAGCCTACTGGACTCATGTGTCCAGTATCTTGGCTAGCTCTGTGACTCACTTTACCCAATAGAATGCAGTAGAAACAACAGTGTGCTAAGTTTGGGGCCATGTTTTAAGAAGGCTGGAACTTCCACTTTTGCAAGCCCTGAGTCATCAAGAAACTAGATATTACCCTGCTGGGGAATCCATGTGGAGTAAGGAAACAGAGATGCCCCAGCTATCCCCATGTCCCAGCTGAGTTCTGCCCAAAGTCAGGTGACCACCAGTAAGGTCAGCTGAGGAGCCAGCCAGTCGAGCCTTGCCCAGATTGCAAAATTATGAATAAATAAAATTGTGTTGTTTACATCTGTTAGTTTTTATGGTGGTTTGTTATATAGCTATATAGATTGGAAGCACATGATTTTGGGAATTAAGGGACTCTGAGAACAAAAATATATTTGAGATGTGTATGATAAAAATCATTATTTTTCGGCTTCTTTTACTGAGATAGTTCAGTGATGCTGTCCTCTACCCTCTGCTCCTCATTTCACGAAAGGCATTTTGAAATAGAGATGGAGTTATATTATTGGGGAATTTAAGTGGTATTTTAAAATGTAGTTGTCACAGTTGGTTGGACTATAATTAGCTAATATGTAATGGAAAGATAAAAGAACTGAATATCAACTTTCAAAAAAGTATGATACTACTTTTTTGACTTATACAGAGATCTCATATATATTGTGAGTATCACAGATTCTGTGTCAGAATACCGGGTTCTATTTCTGGACCTGGGTTAGATTCATTTTTACATGATAGAAAAACCTCAAAATAATAGTGACTTGAATAGGAGTGTTTATTTCTCTCATATCACAGTCTGGAGGGTAAGCCCTCGGGCAGTGATGACGAACCTTTTGAGCTCGGTGTGTCAGCATTTTGAAAAACCCTAACTTAACTCTGGTGCCGTGTCACATATAGAAATTTTTTGATATTTGCAACCATAGTAAAACAAAGACATATTTTTGATATTTATTATTTTATATATTTAAATGCCATTTAACAAAAAAAAAAATCAACCAAAAAAATGAGTTCGCGTGTCACGTGTGTCAGAGGTTTGCCATCACTGCCCTAGGGCGTGTTTGGGGCGTTGTCACTGCAAAGGTGTCAGGGACTTAGCTCATTTTATCTCACTGCTCAGATATTTCTAGGATATGGCCTTTGTTGTCAGATTCCATGATGGCCACTAGAGCCCTGGTCAT